CCATCTAGTGAACACTGCAAGAACTAAATGAGAGGTAGCTACATACAGGGGACGCACAGCCCACACCATTAGGAGCTTCACCCCCAAAAAAGACGCGGGACGTGCCACGCTCAGATGGAAAGAAAAACAAGACGGCACGCGGCAACGGGTGAAGGGAGGGCAGGGGGGGGGGGGGGGAACGAGCAGAGGTGACCTGAGGGGGGTTGGCAAAATAATAAAAAACGGAAGAGATTCAATGAGTGAGGAGGCGCCAGGTATCGGTTAGTGGGACTGCAAAGTATGAATATAGGGGTGGGTTTATTAGGCGGGGAAAAAAGTCCGAATTTCGATCACTGAAGCTGGGGGTGCGTTTATTATGCGAGTGCGTTCGTTACGCAAGTAAACACGGTACTTGTGCGCTCACATCATGCATTTTTCTTTCTGTTTGAACAGCGCGCTTCAAGTGTTGAGTTGCGACATTTGTTAATCTGCGCTCGTCCCGTGTATGCTAATTTCATGTGTGCTTTGTGCTTGAGGTGTGCGCTGCAAGTTTCGAGCTGCTTGCTGCTCTTCACATGACTTTGCATTTTGTTGCTGTTGCTGACACAATGCACAATAAACGCTCCACTAACTCTGTGAAGACATGTTTCACTTTCGTGTTATACCAATTCCTAGATAAAAAATCAACCATGTTCTTTTTTTTTTTTTCATATCCTTCACAGCATTACATACCAGTATTACAGCAAAACTGCCTTAAAAGTTACACTACGGTGGTCAACAGACTGACTCACGAAAGCGCCGTTTCGAATCTACGTGGCAGAGATTGTGTCTCTAAATAATGTCATTCAGACCAAAAAGTTCCAAGAAATCATACGAAGATTTTCAGAATCGAGAACTTTAGATGTATTATGCACTGACTTTTACAGGGCATATAAGCAACTCGGAATTCCAAGGGAGCCTGTGCTTGTCTACCAAATTATTTTGACCTCCACAGAAGTTGAAGAAGGGAGAGGTGGAGGAAATAGTCTTAATTTCACATTTATTGAGCTTTTGACACCATATTGTTTGCAACAAATCATGCAAGAAAATACAATTTGGTCTCTGCGTTGCCTCATCCTTGACAAAACAACTCGGGAACACCAATTCTTCAGAACTTTACCAGCCTAGCCAGCACAAATACTTCCATGTTCCTATCTCATAAGAATGTGCTTATGGATTCGCTGCAATCTTTTTTTTTCTGCAACTCCATTGTAAAGCACTGGAAAAAGATTAAACAAATATTGGACAACAATTAGAACCGAAAATATTGCTATTCGCACAGCTATCAGGAAAAGGCCATTAGTTGATGGCTTGATGACATGCTCCATCTCGCACTTAGCATATGCAACAGATGAAGCAGCAAAGCAGCATTGTGAATAAACAAGAAAACAAGCTGATCTAGATCTTTTTACTCATACAATCGGACACAGTAAAAAATAATCCAATACTCAAAGCAGACCAGTTCTAAAAGGTTACTCACACAAAATTTCGCAGCCGAAATAGATCAATTCCCATGAACATCGCTTCGAAGGTATTTTACTAGGCTTGTGCGAATAGTGACTTTTAGGTTCGAAGGGAATGGTGATTTTGGTCAAATAATATTGAATTGAATTTGAACGGTATGTATGACATTTACAAAAGATGGTAATATTTATCACGACCTAATTAACCTGCAAAATATTGTTTTAAAATTGAAATAGGGGCTGTATGCAAATGGAATTTTTTTTCGATCAAATGAAGTCGAAACAACTGAGTAGTTATAGATCTGAGTTTCGGTAGGATGCGAGTGATAACCTGTAAAATACAAAACATTTAAAAATTTCTTACCCTTGGAGCATATTATTAGTCCTTTTAAGCATAATAAAATGATGCATTAACTTGAAGTTAATATGTTCATTTAAAGGGACCCTGCAACACTTTTTCAAAAGGCCATGGAACAGATTCACTAAAGAAGCTTATTGCTTCCCGAATTCACTGCCACAAAATTTTTAGAATCTGTCCAGTACCAAAACACTTCCTGCACGCCTCATAACCTTGAGCACTTTCTCTCTCTCTCTCTCATTTTTTTCTCTTTCGAATATGCACCCTCTCAGTGCGATCACGCACGTACACGTGGACAAGTGGTCGCCGCCTCCTGTGGTGGCCCCAGTAACGACAGAGTGCGCCATACTCAAATCAGCCAATGGCTGTGACAGGTGATTTCTGAACTTGTAGTGTCATTTGCCGAGTGAAGAAAGCCTTCTTTAGCTGACTTTGAGAACTTATTGTTTGTCAATTGCAGGCTGCGTGCTGCGCTATATTTGGTTCACGTGTTCTCGGCAGCGTCGACTGCCGATCAGCAGCGTTTTCTAACCATGTCCCATAATTGTTGCAGGACCCCTTCAAATTTGAAGGAGGGCTTTGCGGCAAAGTGGATTTCTCCACAATATGTGCTTTCGTGGCTTATTACCACTACACTGCAGTGAAAACATCTTTATAAGCAATTACATGGATACTAATTTGCACCTATTCACTAGAAATTTTCAGTAACTTGCATTAAAACTGAAGTAAATTTGAATACTTTACAATTCATTTGAATATTTGGAGCATTCGAATACTTGCACAAGTTTATATTTAACTTGCATGCACGATCGAGCAAAGTGTGCCCCGGTGACCCCCCCCTACATCTATCCCGTTGCAGTAAATACATTAAGTTATGATGATGTCATGCTGTTTTTTTTTTGGCCGTTTCTTCCCCCTGACTGTTTGGAGACACCGCTGACCCTGTTCCAACGGACTTCTAGGTAGACAGGAGTGCATCACAACTCTGCGTGCTGACGTGGTCGAACGATGCACACTGTAAGTGGTGATAGTTGCACCCGGTGGCTAGTTTTTTTTGGAGCTCTAAAATTGAGACTGGTTGGTAAGGAGGAGGCTGCAATCAATTATCTGCTGTGCACTGTAGCAAATTATGTGCTGTGTTATAACTGGCAAGCCCCCAGCAACACACTGCAGCAATAAAACCCGAGAATGAAATTTTAGTGTCAGTAGCCCCTTTAAAAAAGTCGTGTCTGTTCAATGCATGAGTGATAACACAAAACAAATTTTCAAATATCCAAGGCGTGCAAATTAGACAAGGAGTAGTAAAAATATGTTGAGAAAGCACAACTGCCTTTCACTTGTCCTTGCACTACGCTCTATACTTGTCCTGCATGGTTTGCTTAAGGGGTGATGCAGGTCGAATAATGCGTGTTTCTTTCAAAATTACCAATTTTTTATTTTCGCCTGTTTTGATAAGATTAGTACCTATACTGATCTGAAAAAAAAAAAAAACATGTCGAGACTTGACTAGAAATGCTTTTGAATTGCGTCTAAAGAGCACAAGGTACCTCTTAAAAGGCCCCAAGCATGCAGTCTTCGAGCACCTTGCCGCCGATAATGTGCCTCCGCTCGCAATTGTCGATCGCATGAGGCGAAGAGTGGAGCCTCACTCTTCTAATAACAACAGTTTCCCTTGCTGATAAGGCGCAAGAAATAATAAAAAGACGCACGCTTTCGTGCATTTTTCGAGCGCTGCGACTGGCTTGTCACGTGGTACCAATCAGGGACCGTCATTGGCCGCTGCGTGCCAGTATGTGCTATGAAGCTTACTTGCAGGGTCCATGTCTTCTCGAGCAGCGCAGCTGAACGCTTTTCTCGTGTATTTATCACCATTATGAAATGAAACAAGCCATTGCTCGTGCGTGAAAGCCGTTGTGACGGCGCGCTCTGTAGGAATAGGCTGCGAGCAGCTGGTCTGATTTGCGGCAGTTGTTGGCTTGCAAAAACCAATGCATCGAAAGTCATTCAAAGCCATCAGCCAGAAAGTTCATGATGTGGCAACGAATGACGTCAGCGCCAATCTTGCAAGGTCGATGAAGCTCCCAGCGAGGGATCTTAGCGCGGACGACATTGCCATTTTGTACGAAAGTATGTGGTACAAACTTGTTCGCAAAATGGCATTGGCACTGTTGTATCCCACGACACTGGACTTAGTTTAGACTTCGCCGTCCTGTCTAACTTCTTCTTAGCTTGCAGTTGGCACAAGGCTCTGCCAGATGGAGTGGAAGAAGTTTGGCAAGCGTTTCATGGTCATGTCTGTGAGCGAAATGTCTCTGAGAAGTCTGTTTGAAAAAGCCGAAAGAGACAAACTCATAGTGCTGGCGTATTTTAGTGGCAGAAGCCACTACAAGAAGGATTGTTCTTTTTGATTTGGAAATTTCATTGCATTTAAGGACATTCATAAAAGAAACCTAATTTTAACTTTAAAACTCATTTTTCTCAAAACACAAATTTTGTATTTTTTTTTTTCAATGTGCCCTTCCATTTTCGGGCATGTCTAGGGCTCGGATCTGCATGAAATTTTGCCTAAATTATTTCCAAAGTATGACAAATATAATTATCTAGTTTAAACTTCAATATTTTATTATATAATGAAAAATTGTATGTAAACCTTAACTAGAGTAGGTGAAATATAAGCTTTTTTACATCTATTATTTTTCATGCCTATTACATATTTTGTATATGCTTCCTAATTAGTTATTTGTATTATACACTTTATTTGAAATAATTTTAACTATGAATGGTAAAAAAATACGCAGTTTAGGGATGAAAAGAGGGGGGCAAAATGTTTAAGGTTATCAGTTTGTCATGTCGCAGAGCTAAAACAATGCAACTTACAAGAGAACTAATTACATATTTGAAATAAACAAAGAGTTCCATAAACAGCAAGTTTCAATGCTCTAGGGTGAATATGAAAAAAAAATGTCTTCGAGTAGCATCTACCCTTAAGCTGTACAAAATGTACAAGGATGTGTAAAAATGTAGACATGTTGCTAAAAATTCTTACTTTTTTTTTTTCATGTCCTTACACGTCCTTGTGAGATCTCAAAGTCTACAAGTATTGTTGAAACTTGCATTTTTCTAACAAATGCATCGACTGTGAAATAAAACAGACGACTCACTGCACCACACGTGACATTCATCTCTTCATCCTCGTAGTCGTCCTCCATGCCAGACTCGGCCCCCTCCAACTGTTCAGTCTGCATTGAAATTAGACAGTCATAGCATGCATCTGTCTACTAGAAATATATTGACTGTCCCAGCCACGTGTCTCTACTATTATTGCCAAACTGTTCAAAATGGGGATGCCTTAGACCAAATAGTTTGTGGTGTGTGCACTATGCTGCATTAGAGAACCATTAAGCTGTATGAAGCCTTGCTGAGAAATTGTGACCCATTATTTCAAGGACAAACATAATCTATGTCTGCAAAAGCAGGATTAATGAAACTGTTATGGCCCAGGGTAATGCTAAATCACACTTGATCTGAAAACAAACTAGCTAAACGTTACAGTTCTAAGGTCCCGCTGATAGAGTAATGCTTTTTATTTTTTATTACATTCTATATTGAAATGAGAAAACAACCAGAATCATGTCAGATTAAATGTTATAACCTTGTGATCTTGATAACCCTTTTCGGTTTCCAGTATTTTCAGTGCAAAAACATTGCACTCTTTATCAACACATCTAGGTGTCAAAAAAAAAAATAGAAAATCGTCAACAACACTAACGGGAACTTGGGCGACACTTAATTCTCGTCCCTTGCAGCAGTACTGGAAAAACATGCAACTTTGAGAACACATGCCTGTAAAACAGCCATAATACTACCATGCTAACTTATTTGTTTCATTAGAACCTTATAATACAGATTAGCCATTCAAGCATTTTGATATTTTGAAAGGTTTTTCCTCAAGATTGTTAGTTTTCTTTAAGTAGCCATTGAACGTTTCTCTTCTAAAAAGCATGTTTCTGCTGCTGAAGAAAGAAACTGTACACAATACTTTTAAGGAGGGTAGTAAGAAGACTACAGAATTGTGTCCTTTACATTTCTTCATCAGGGTTATTGAAAACTTATTCTACCTTAGATTAACGACTTCTTTAAAAAAAAATTAGCTTTTTGTTTCAGCAACACTTTGGATTTCGTCCTGGGTATTAAATTAAGCTGGCCCAAATAACCTTAAAATTGAACAATCTTGTAGTACCATCATCATCATCATTTTTTGACCAAGACGCCGTGCCTCTCGCACAGCTGAGCTTAGCTCGAGCTGCGCATGAACAGAATGAGCTCAGGCGCCTAGCGTGTCCAGGGTCGGATTAACAGTGCGGAGGGCCCGGTTAGAAAATAAATAAGGGGGGCCGGTCGCCTCGCCCTCTTTCTTTCTTGCTTTGTCAAGTGGTCATGCTTGAGACTTGACACTTTTTATATTCAGCTGAAAAGAACACAAACCGTATATAATTCTAAACCTCTTTGGCGTGTTTATTATCACCTGGCCGTTTTCTATCGTACGGAGCACATGTAGAGCTTGTCATCGTAATAAATAACTATATCAGGAAACGGCGACACATGGACAGCATTAGAATTTGTTTGGTTTGTTGAATCATACTGAAAGAAGACTAAACTGTACAAGAAGTTAAGATAAAAAGAAGGAATACATACACACATAGAAGTGCATCCAAAGTACTACATGTGTTTTGTCCATTCGTCTTGACCTATAGCATTGTTTACCCTTATTTCAATAGAGGACATTTTCCCACGAAACCCACAGAGCGCCTTTGTGGAAAATAGCTTCTCTATCTGCTTCCACTTCACTGATCCGATTCAGTAGCACGTGCTTTGGTTGCCTGCGTGCAAGCACTGCCGAAGTTGACAGGTGTGTCTTATTGAGAAACTGTTTGGGACATTGCATAAAAGAAATTTAAAAGTGGTGGTCGGTTGAAGACCCACATTACAACTCTGAAGCGATAGCGGCGAGGGTCTGGTGGCGGCAACATAGTTGTGAAGAAGATGTGCCTGCAGCGAGCAGCATCGCCAACACCCGGCTCTCTCGGCTCATGCTCCGGTTCACTGCTGTGCTGATCTCTGCTGGACGGTTCTTCACGCTGTTTTGCCGTTGTCGTTAACGACTAATAAATCTCTTCACATTTGGTGAAGGGTGCTGTTTATCCCCGTCGCTACACCCTGGAGCTGCGAAGTCGCCCCAGTTCAACTGCCCTGGCCATCCTAGGCTACGGGACCCGAAGGCCTTCAGCGGTGCAGATAGGACCGACGTGGAAGACTGGCTCGAGCAATACGAGCTGGTGAGCGCCAATAATAAGTGGGATGAAGCCGACAGGCTGGGCCACGTCATATTTTATCTCACTGGTGTCACAGAATTGTGGTTTAACAACAACAAACAGAACATCCCCACATGAAGACGTCATGTGCTGAAGTGTTCGGTCGGCCGGCTGTCCGCAAGCAGCGGGCAGAACAACGCTTGCGCGTCCGCTCTCAGCAGACTGGCGAAAATTTTACCAGCTATATTCAGGATGTCGTCGACCTTTGTCGACGCGCGAATGACACCATGCCCGAGTCGGGCAAAATCAAACACATCCTGAAGGGCATCGACGATGGCGCATTTCAAATGCTCTTGGCTAGGAATCCGAGCACAGTATCTGAAGTTGTCAGTTTGTGCGAAAGCTACGACGAGTTGAAGAAGCAACGCACTCTGACTCGGCAGCCTCAGCGTGGTGGTGAGTCGCTGTCCAGTTTCGACACGATGCCCGACAATTCGCCGTTGCTTCAGCAAGTCCGAGCCTTCGTCTGTGAGGAAGTTGCTTGCCAACTTTCTCTAGTGCCCTTCACTCACGAGACCACCACCCGTCTAACTGCCCCGTTTTGCACTGCTATATCGGAAGAGGTTGCACAAGCTGTTCTTCTTGCGCATTACGAGCCGCCTCTATCTAGCCGTGTTCACTGCCCCCCGCGTGTCGCACAGCCGGTAGGTGTCCCTGTCGCCTATCTGCCAGCCGTTCAGCCTGTGGCCGCGCCTTTAACGTATGCAACCTAGCCTGTGGCTCCTCCAGTCACCTGTTCGCAAGAGATGCAGCCCGTAGCCGTGCCGCTCACATATGCAGATGCTGTGCGTAGGCTTCCGCAACGCCCTACACCAAGCGCTCACAGTCCGCACACGCGGCTGCTTATATTGCACCTTGGGTGGCACCACCAGTCGTCAATCCTTGGAGGACGCCGGATAACCGACCGATTTGCTACGCATGCTTCACTACTGGACACGTCGCCCGCTACTGCCGCCGTCGACCTCAGACGTTCGGCAACTATGCCCGGTCGTCGCAGCCCGGCAGCCAACCCTTCGACCAATACGGGCCAGTCTCATCCTCTCGCTATGCCGCTGCCGACCACCTTGACTTCCAGCCGCAGTGCGCACCCTCTCCTCGTCGACGATCGCCCCCCCCCCCCCCATGCGTCGCCGGCCCGGACTCTCCGAACAGCAAAACTAAGCACCGCAGTTCAAGAGGCAAGAACTGCGCCATTTTCGAACTGTCTAAGCCCTCACTCCTCTCCTGCTAACGTGGTCGCAGTAACTGTTGAAAGTGATTGTACTTTCGCCCTTGTGGACACCGGCGCAGCTGTTTCTGTTATTGCCGGTAATCTATGCCGTTCATTACGCAGTCACGATGCCGCTTTCGGGGCTGTCGCTTCACACCGCAAGCGCACAACAAGTAACGCCTCTCACAGCCTGCACTGCAAGAGTGATTGATTGATTGATTTGTGGGGTTTAACGTCCCAAAACCACCATATGATTATGAGAGACGCCGTAGTGGAGGGCTCCGGAAATTTTGACCACCTGGGGTTCTTTAACGTGCACCCAAATCTGAGTACACGGGCCTACAACATTTCCGCCTCCATCGGAAATGCAGCCGCCACAGCCGGGATTTGATCCCGCGACCTGCGGGTCAGCAGCCGAGTACCTTAGCCACTAGACTACCGTGACGGGGCCTGCAAGAGTGTCCATCGAAGGCATTCTTTACATTGTGGAGTTTATTGTTCTCACTGTCTGTTCGCATGACGTCATCCTCGGGTGGGACTTCCTATCCTGCCATAATGTTGTAATCGACTGCACACGCGCCGAAGTTGAGTGTTCACCCTTGTGTGATGTCCCATTACTTGACGCTCTTCATCAGCCGCCGAAGTTGCTCGTTCATGAAGATACCCATATTCCACTTGGAAATTTCGCACTTGTTCCTATTTCATGCAACGCCTACACTGATGCTACAGTCCTTTTTATGCCTTCCGATATCTTCAAGAGTCGTCGAGCTCTGCCGCTGCCTTTCGCAACAATTGACCTTGCCCCCGGAAGAAGCAATATGTTCGTAAGCAATTCGCTTTCCACACCTGTCACTTTGCTTGCGGGGGAATGTCTCGGCCGCATGCAGGATCTCGACCCTTCGTCTTTGGTTGATGTCCCAGATGACTACTGCGACCACCCAAAAGCACTGTCAGCACTCGGGGAGTCGTCCAATGATACGTTTTCCAGCGTCATCGCCGACACTCTCACTTCCACCGAACATGCCGAGCTGCTGGATCTTTTGCATGAGTTCAGGAGTTCTTTCGATGTGTCGCAACCTCAACTAGGCCGCATGTCACAAGCCAAACATGATGTTGACACCGGCCTACACCAGCCACTGCGTCCAAGACCATACCGTGTCTTCGCTGAAGAGCGCCGCATCATCAACGATCAAGTCGAAGATTTGCTTTGTAGAGACGTCATTCGACCATCTCACAGTTCCTGGGCGTCTCCTGTCGTCTTCGTGCATAAGAAAGACGGATCTATCCGATTTTGCGTGGATTGTTGTCGTTTGAATAAGATAACCCGCAAGTACGTCTATCCTTTGCCGCGCATTGATGACGCCATATACACCCTTCACGAAGCGGAATTCTTCTCGTCGCTAGATTTGCGGTCTGGCTACTGGCAAGTCCCAATGGCTGAAGCCGATTGTCAAAAAAACGTCATTATGCAACCCATCGTGCGCACCTTGGATTGTGGTGGGGTTCCAGTGAACATGCAGGTCGACACAGGCTCGCCGGTTTCGGTCATCCACGTGGCCCACATATGAGCGGAACAAAACAGTGTGGCCGAAGCTGCGTGGTTCGCCATTTGAAACTCACCTGCTTCCTGGGACGGCTTCCAGTGCGGGGACAACTT